CTCCCTATGGGGCTACGAAACGCTGCCCTGGGTGGGGGAACCGCATGTGGACACCCCCACTGGGGCCTTCGGTGGAGCTCCCTATGGGGCTACGAAACGCTGCCCTGGGTGGGGGAACCGCATGCGAACACCCCCACTGGGGCCTTCGGTGGAGCTCCCTATGGGGCCACGAAACGCTGCCCTGGGTGGGGGAACCGCATGCGAACACCCCCACTGGGGCCTTCGGTGGAGCTCCCTATGGGGCCACGAAACGCTGCCCTGGGTGGGGGAACCGCATGTGGAACACCCCACTGGGGCCTTCGGTGGAGCTCCCTATGGGGCTACGAAACGCTGCCCTGGGTGGGGGAACCGCATGCGAACACCCCCACTGGGGCCTTCGGTGGAGCTCCCTATGGGGCCACGAAACGCTGCCCTGGGTGGGGGAACCGCATGCGAACACCCCCACTGGGGCCTTCGGTGGAGCTCCCTATGGGGCTACGAAACGCGTGAGAGGTGTGCCGAGAGCAGAGGCAAGGAGGGGGAGGAGGGAGGAGGGGGAAGAGGAGGAGAAGAGGACGCGGGCACCGTCTCTTCAAAACGAGGACCCAACACCACAGGATGGTTGGGAAAAACTGAGCCCGGAACGAAGGCGCCACGCGCGGGCGACGCCAAGGAGAGGAGGCGGCGGCAGCAGCGGCAGGAGGAGGAGGGGGAGGAGGAGGGAGCCTACTGCAACGGAGCCCAAGCTCGAGCGAAGCAGCGCGTAGCAGCGCTGCTCCCAGGGAAAAATCTCTCGGGCCATGTGAGACAACGCCTGCCACGCGATGGGCGCGGGCGAAGAACCGTGCCTAAAACGGCAATGCACGATATATACAGCTGCGAGCCGGACGGCCTTTCGCACTAAGACATCACGGGCGCACTCCGAGTATCGAGGCTCCAGAACCAGGAAGTCGTCCATGACCGCGCTGCCGACTGGCGCTTCCAAGCGGCAAAAACGGGAGCCGAACTCCCGAACAACCGGGCAGAAGGCGTAGTGCTCGATGCTGTCCTCGCAACTGCAACCAAAAATGCATCCTGGGTTCCTGTCCTGGAAACGTCGTTGCGTGACCCAGCCATTCCACCATGTCCGGAGGACGGCTGCCCGAACCCGGCCCGGAAGCACCGAGCTAAGGGAAGGGAGTGCCAGTAGCGCTCTCTCTGCCCGAACCCGTTCGAAAAGACACGTCGTATAGCGCGCTAAACGTCTCCGCATGAACTGGTGCAGGGTAGCGTAGGCGGGCTGCTCCAGCTGATCGGCATGACTTCTGCCAGTGACGACGAAGAATGAGCTCTTGCTCAGGGGGCGGCCGGCCGGCGTGCCCCAAAATGCGCTGCTGAACTTGCGGAGGCGATAAGCCCGCGTGCGGAATCCAGCTGCAATATGAAGGCAGTGCGAAACCAGGAAGCCATGGACATCCTTTTCCAGAGATCCCCGCAGGAGGACACAGCGCGACGGAGGGTGCGAGCACGAGCGCGAACGTCCAATCCTCCATGCAACTTGTTTTCGAACATCGCCACCCTGTATTTTGCCGCCAACGAGTAGTTGTCCAAGTCGAGGAGCCCCCCTGGATGCCCAGGTGCTGCAACGCCCGCAATGCCGGACCCGACGCCCAGCATCGTGGCCCCGGAAACAGCTTGGACGCCGCTAATTGCTCCGCGGCGGCCCGCTGGGGCGGCGGGGAATCCAGTTGGGCGACGAATAACACAATAGAAAAGATGTACGTCCTGTACGCAAGAAGCGTCAGCTGGAGACCGCAGCCCACCTTGCCCCAGGCAGCCGCCCGACTCCCAAATTTCTGTAGTAGTTTGTCCCACGAGGTCGCGCCTCTGCCAGGTCCAAGGACGGACCCCAAGTACTCCGCCGAAGTCGCAACCCGCACTCTTCCCCAGGAGGGCGTAGCACGCGCGAGCCGAGCCTGGAAGTCGCCGAGGTCCTCCATGTGCAAAAGGACAATCGTAGTCTTCCCCAAGTGTAGGTGTAGACCGGAGATTAATGCGTACTCCTCGAAGATGGTTCCAAGGCACTCAGGTCGCCAATGCCTGCCCGGGAGACCAAGGCGAGGTCGTCGGCGTGTGCCCGCAGGTCCGCTGACGGGAGAAGCCGGCCCAGTCGGCGAAGCAAGAGGTCTGCCGCGAGTGCAAATAGCAGTGGAGAGAGCGGGCATCCTTGACGAATGCCGGCGGTAATGGCGAACCCCTCGCGGCGGACACCTCCTGCAACGATGCTGCAACGGCTCTGGAAATACAGCGCCCGGATGAAGCCGAGGATGAAATCAGGGGGCCCGATATGCGCGAACAGGTCCATCATGAACGTGTGGTCGACGCTGGGGAACGCCGCCTTGAAGCCGAACATAACTGCGAAGCCGTCGTCGTAACCCAAAGCTGTGTGCTGCATGATCTCATCGATGTCGATGACGTTCGCCAGCATGGAGCGCCCGCCGATGAACCCACGCTGCTTCGGGGACACCCATGTCGCCAAGAT